TGTTGGTACTTACCTGTATCATCGATTATTCAATTCAATAAGAAGGAAATGAAATATTCAAATAAATAAAATCATAATAATAATCGACGAATACACGAATACGGATCTATTCTCAAAGGCTTTACGTTGAAAGATAATAAAATAAAAAAAGAAAAAAAAGAAAGAAAGAAGGAAGGAAGGAAGGAAAGAAAGAAGGAAGGAAAGAAGAAAAAGAAAAAAATGGATGATATATAAAAAAATGATTTGAAACGTGCGAGATGAGATTTGATTGGTAAAAATAGAAAAGAGATTAATAGATAGATGGGTAGATAGATAGATAGGTAAATAGACAGAGAGAAATAGAAAGAGAGAGAAAATCTAGAGGTTGGGGAGGTTGAGTGGTAGTTCGATGATGCGAAAGGGGGCAAAAAGTGCAAAGCTCGAGGGGTATGGAAACTACGAAAGAATATTGCCTACGGTTTTATCGCTCTTCAAGGATATAGACTTTTACGATTATTAATCCCTATACATTTTCCATGAATACATTTTAGCATCTCGTTCTGGTATTTCCTCTCGTCGAATCGTCGCTGAGTATATAATGTTGCTTTCTACGACGCAACCGATACATACATAAATACATATATACATACACACATGCATACGTACGTACGTATATACATACATAGTGTATACATAAAACATAGGAAGCGGACAAGAACCACATTCGTGTTTACTTAACGTCGTCATCGTTTTTTTACCCGGCTACAGGTTATTTTTTTTTCCTCTTCTTTTTTTGTTGTTGTTTTTTTATTTTTCTCTTTCTTCAGGTTACTCCTTTCCATCGTATCGAATGAAAATACTCGTACGTTTAGAGTGATCTAAGTGAAGAAAAAGAAAGAAAAAAAAAAAAAAAAAGGAAAAAAAGAAGAGAAAAAGAGAAAGAAACGAGTTAGACATTAAAAGTGACAGTAATCGCGGATTCCTTTCTTCGACGAACTATCATCATAGAAAATTCGTTCGCGAATTACCATTTCAGATTTTTATTGCTCCCAGTCCAATAAGAGTGTCCGCGGCTTTCTCTATTATTGCGGCCTGTCATTTTACTGCTTCGAAATGGCCGGAATTTAGCATCGGCTTGATTTACGAGGCCGTTACACCTGTGCGCCGCGACCACATAACACCCCTTTGGTCGTGTATCTCGACTGGCTGAGCCGTGGTCCAAAGCGAACGTGAAGAACAGATGCATGTGTGATGGCTGTCTATATATATATGCGTATAAGTGTAACGTCATTCATTAATCTTCGACGGGAGATGCGGAGGGTTGAGAGGCAAGAGAAAAAAATAAAAAGAGAAGTGAAAAAAGAAAATAAACAAATAAAAATAAAATAAACAAAGGACAAGAGCTTGAAGTTGAACGTTTGACTTGATCTTAATCAGGACAGACTTTTATTTTTTTATAATTTTTTTTTCTTTTTTTTTATTACGATTACGAGCATACGTCGACCAGACAATAGTCGACCAGTTACATATATATATATATATATATATATATATGTATATATACTTGCATAGTTCGAGACCTGCGTTACACACTCGAAGAAATCTCAAAGTTGCTTCGATAATCAGAGAGAATTCCGCGAGTGATGGAGAAGTAGGAGGAGGAAAAGGAGAAGGGTAAGTAAACATTGAAGTAAGCAGGCTTTCCACGGACTTTCCTAGTTTCACTATCCTCTCTCTTCTACCCTTCTCCACTTGCTCAATCTCTCTTTCCCTCTCTCTCTCTCTCTCTTTTTCTCTTCCTCCCTTTCTCTCCTACCCACTTTCCTACCTCTCTCGTCTCAACCCTCTTGTATACTCGTAGAAGTGCTCGTTCCGGCAGGTATAGCGGCTGCATTTCGATGCCTCATAAAACCTACCGTAAACCGAAGAAATTAAAACTTTCGAACTCTCTCTCCCATTCGAAATGAGCTTTCGAGTTGTAGATACAGCAACTAGTTGGCCCGTACTGAAACTGCTTATGTGCTTGCTTTCTGCGAATGCAGTAGTAGCCCTCTCCCGACATTGTAGCCGCGTATTAAGCCTGTTACAAGGATACGAGAAATACGAAATAAACCGACGAGATATGTAGATAAGAGCAAGCAGGGGCGTAAATAAGAAGAAGAAGAAGAAGAAGAAGAAAAAGAAGAAGAAGAGGGGGAGGGGGAGGAGGAGGAGGAGGAGCAAGAGAAAGAAGCAAGACAAAGAAAAAAGAAAAGGAAAAAAGGAACAAATTGGATATCGCAGTCTTAAAGTTCTCTCCGCGATAAAAAGTCGTTTATATGCAACGTGAATATACATTCGAGAAAAGAATAAAAAAAAAAAAAAAAAAAAGAAAAAGAAAAAAAAAATAAAAAAGGAAGGAAAGAAGGAACGAACGAACGAACAAACGAACGAAAGATAAAGAGAAAGAGCATGAGAGAAAGTTTAAATGGAAAGATACTAAAAATGTATTCTCACGTTTCGCATGAAACTTTCGACGGGGATATTTTTTCGATGAGGAGAATCGTGAAAAAGCGGATAGATAATTGGTTAACACGATATTTTCGTGATAATGGAAAGTCGATGAAAAAGAATCATAAAGAAGGGGATGATAGAGAGAAAAAGAGAGAGAGAGAGAGAGAGAGAGAGAGAGAGAGAGAAATGATTTAAATGATTAGTTTCAAAGCTTGCCGCTGCGGGGCACTATCGTATTGGTGTTATCAACGTTCAAAGCTTTTCGCTGAGTTTCAGTCGGTACATACATACATATATAAATAAATAAATACATACATATATAACAATATAACCTTGGACTTTGATGAATCGTTCATTAAAACAAATCGTATTATAAATAGTTGCGCTTGCAACATTTTCTGATTTTATTTTTCAAATGTCAATAAGCCCTCGATTTTCCTTCCTTCCCTTTGATTGTCAAATAATATCAATATATACATATACTTTTATACATATTATTTTATACATATATATTTATATACATATAATATATACATATAATTTTATACATATATATTTATATACCTGCACACATTATATATGTATATAATACAATTTATATAGATATAGCTCTATAGTTCTCAACCCGTTCGTATAGCAGAATCGTAACTCTGAATCGAAAGCTCCGATCGAACCCGATCCAAGGTTCGTTATGCGATGGGAACTAGGATACTAAGAACGTCGGCTCGACCAACGTTTACTAAATGCAATTTATACGAAAGTTTTATGGAATGGCGCCATAAAGGAAAGTGGGTCAGAAGTTCTTCCGACTGTAAAGATACACGACCGTAGGAATATTTCGCGATATGAGAAAGACGGGAAAGAGGGTTGCAAGTTGTGGGAGGTAGGGGATGGGCTGATGCGGGTAGGGTGCGGGTGGTTGCGGGAGGTAGATGGATGGTGGAGGGAGGGACGAGGAAGGCGAAATGCATCGCGGTGAACTCGATTGAACCTTTTTCTTCGAACGAACGAGGGGAAAAAAAAAGAAAGAAAAAAGCCTGAAAACTTCGAACTCATTCAAAGAAAAGAAAAGAAATATAGAATGCTTAACGAAAAAAAAAAAAAAAAAAAAATAATTCAATGGGAGTATTCATTTCGTCGTTATTCACATTGATTATGGCGAAGAAATATGGTTGATCGTTATAGATAAAGGCGACGATGTTATAGATAAAAAAGTAAAAAACAAAATAAAATTCGTCGATAATAAAGGCGAAGATGACATAACGTGATGCCATTGCGATCGCTAATGCATTAACTTTTATACATATGGGTGTGTATATAATGATGAGTTATGTCAATTGACTAAATACTTCGAGAAAGATGAATTTTTCTTAATATAAGTGTCAAGAACACGAGAATTTGATTTAAGAGGGACAAATATAGCGGCATTATTTATCTCTAATTCGGTGGATGTTTTCAAAAGATTATTTCAAAGATTACATCGTGTGTTTTTAATGGACGCCTATAATTTTTGTGACGACATCTTATTTCACGCCAAAAAATAAACCCATGTTTGAAACGTTTTTTTATCCAGCATCTACATTCTACGATATTTGTCATTGGTTAAGCAAAAAGTTAGGACAGGTAGAAATATAGGAAAGTTGAGAATGGGATAGGATAAAAAAAGACTGAATAGGATCGAATAGGATCAAATAAGGTCAGATAGAATCGAATAAAATCGAAAAAGATAGAACAGGATCGAAAAGGATAAATCAGGAAGGAATAGGGCCGGATAGGACCGACTAAGATTGAACTTGATCAAGTAGGACCGAATAAAATCGAATAGAATCAAAAAGGGATCGAATAGGTCCGAACAGGGCCGAATGAGATAAAATCAGCTCGGCCCAGCTCGGCTCGCAAACGTGTGTATGTACAAATAAATCATGATATAACATGGTATATACACACACACATATATATCGTAATTAATAAATACGCAACTACTTCAAACTATATTATACGCTTGTCGAAATTGTTGTATAATTAGATTTTGTGTTAAATATTACGTTAAATATAACGAGTAGTAATATCGTAAAATTATGTGATACGTTGGTACAAGGAGCATTTACCAACGATAAACTTAAATATTAAAATAATCGTGAATAATATAAAAGAACAAATAAAATTTGTATTACCTGTTAATCCTGATTAGGTCCTACGTCTAATTGTTACGAAAAATCTACGACAACGATGATTGAAATATTGAAAATTTGATTAATTTGTCTGGACGCTTTCGCAGCTCGATCGACATTGTTGCCTCGCTGATGCGTAAATGACGAAAGTATCATGGCGACTGTATTTTGAAAATTGGTCGTCCTCTCGATGAAACAAGGACGGCGTAATAATAACATATATATGTGTGTATATATATATATATATTTGAATGGTGATGTAAATAAAGGAAGAACGCGTAATGTTTTGATTATTTCTTATATTACGATAGGTGAAAAAAATCGATTGAAATGTTTATCGCGTTAAGACGTTTGTTA